AAAGAAAGAAATAAAGAGTTAGAATAGAATATTCTGAATTACTAAGTCTAAAACTCTAAATGTTCTTATTCCTCTAATTTGGTCTATGTCGACGGGTGCTACAAGCATTTACAAGATTTGATTGAAAAACCGAATTGCCGAGAAAATGAATTTCCTCATTTAGCTTTGGTTTTTTTAATTTGCCCTAACTTGTAAATGTAATTGGCAACTATAACGTTTTGAATACGGCCAATTAGAGCCTGTAGATGTTATTTTAAATACACGTTGCATCAACCAATCAAAGATAGAGCGCTGAGAGAAGCCCAGTTGAATGGAACAATCAATTTTCCAACTCATGAATATATTCTTCCCATTGCACTCATTAACATTCATTAGTTGTATAATATCTGGCGTAGATTACCGTCTGAGACCGCCTGTATAATTTTGAAAATACACCATCATCCAATCAATGATAAATCGATGATAGTGCTTATATTTTCAACTGAGATTAAATGTTAACTTCCGGCCCAAAATAAACGATCAGTGTTATGAGAGTCCTATTAACATATTTTATTATTATTATTATCATCATCATCATTATTAGATGTGTCTGTAAATTTCTAATATAAATCTAATGATACGGTTATTATCTACTGTATTGTATACTAATTAATATCAGCCACCGTGTTCAAAACCCGCCGTTTGTCGCAATTTCTAATTTCGCGCAAGCACCTAAAACGTTTGAGAATCAGAATTTTGAAATTTTCAGGTTTTTGCATTTTATAAAAAAAATGATATATTGCAAACTATCAATCACTAAATCTAACTGAAAAGTATTAAAGTTATTTTTTAAATACAAATCTTAATAATAAACTATTGATTTTGGAGTCTGTGGAAGATGTTTTCTGAAAACCTACATCAATAAATTAATTATTCATAACTTTGCTAATACTCAACCAATTTACATACAATAAACGCTGTTTTAAAGAAGAATTAATAGATAATCTCTAGATGGAAGAAAATGATAGTCTTGTGAATTAAGGTATTATCAATATAGATGCAGGCTTACTATGACTTAATGCTGCATGGTGTCTTACAGATGAACATGTTAATATTTCACTGATCGAAGATGTTGCAACGAATACGTCAACCATAGTTGCCAATATGACGTCAAATGCGCCATCAAATGTTGTGTATGCAGTTTATTGTTCAGCTGGTGAACCGTTTCCTGTGATGATTGAGGATACTAACACGGCGACCGTACGTTGTATTGGTGTAGAAGCTGGACAAAGTGCTAATTTGAGTGTTGAAGCATTGTATGGTAACTGTTCTGTCGGATCTGCGTTGATATCTATTTCAACCGGTATGTTCAGTAATTCTTAATAGTGCTTTTGAGCCGGTGTCACAGTACCTTTGGCCAGCCAGTGTATTCGTCCTCAGCTCTGTACGTAACGTTAGTAAATTCGACGGTCTCCAGGATACCCAATCCTTTATACGGCGAAAATGGGGATATCCCAGCAAATATCACCCCAGCCAAATCACCCTGGATAAGGGGCCGAATCCCTTACCCCAGGCCAAATCACCATGGATAAGGGACCAAATTCTTAGGGAGATTTTTATGTGACACCGGCCCTCACATCGTACATTCATAACCAGTAGTTTTGTAATTCATAGTGCATTACGTTATATCGTATCATTACTAGAACACAACGTGAAGTTCACAAATCAGACATCTTCATTGACTTCGATATCTGTCGAATGGGAAATGAGATCTGGCTTTGCTTCAGAATTTGTCGTTAATTGTTCAAGTGGTGTTCCAGCTTCATCAGTCGTAGACGCAGTAAATGGTTCTGGTAGTATGGAATGCTCTTGTATAAAACCAGGACTACAAGTAGTAGAGGTAACAGTGATTGCTGTCGCGAACTCCAAGCAGAGTATGCAGTTTATTGTTCAGCTGGTGAACCGTTTCCTGTGATGATTGAGGATACTAACACGGCGACCGTACGTTGTATTGGTGTAGAAGCTGGACAAAGTGCTAATTTGAGTGTTGAAGCATTGTATGGTAACTGTTCTGTCGGATCTGCGTTGATATCTATTGCAACCGGTATGTTCAATAATTCTTAATAGTGCTTTTGAGCCGGTGTCACAGTACTTTGGGCCAGCCAGTGAATTCGTCCTCAGCTCTGTACGTAACGTCAGTAAATTCGACGGTCTCCAGAGACCCAATCCTTTAATGGCGATATCCTAGCAAATATCACCCCAGCCAAATCACCCTGGATAAGGGGCCGAATCCTTTACCCCGGCCAAATCACCATGGATAAGGGACCGAATTCTTAGGGAGATTTTCATGTGACACCGGCCCTCACATCGTACATTCATAACCAGTAGTTTTGTAATTCATAGTGCATCACGTTATATCGTATCATTACTAGAACCTGACGTGGTGAAGTTCACAAATCAGACATCTTTATTGACTTCGATATTTGTCGAATGGGAATTGAGATCTGGCTTTGCTTCAGAATTCGTCGTTAATTGTTCAAGTGGTGTTCCAGCTTCATCTGTCGTATACTCCGCTGATGATGGTTCTGGTAGAATAGAATGCTTTTGTATAAAACCAGGACAAGTAGAAGTAACGGTGGTTGCTGTCGCCAACTCCAAGCGGAGTTTATCAGCATCAAGAACCGTTTCAACAGGTACGGTGGGGGATAACGCCGAAAGCCAATTTTTTTTTAAAATATATTTGTTTCCAACAGGCATCTAGACTTGAAATTAATTATAACGCGTTATGAAACTTATGAGTTATTAGAGATGTTTGTACAATACCAATAAGTACGATTTAAGCGGGTCGATCAGAATCAGAATCTGATTCTGATCGAAATCGTATTTATCAGAATCTGATTCTGATCGAAATCGTACTTATTGGTGTTGCACAAAAATCTTCTAATAACATATTCAAAAGGTTCATAATACGTTATCATTAATTTCAAGTCGAGTGACCGTAGTTAAGGCAAGGATGCCATTACATAGTGAAAACGTCGTCACTGAACAGTATAAGTGTTTTGAATAAGGACTATAAACCATAGGCCTAGTGTACACAAACTCTACCGTGTGCAACCCAGTATTACTTTGGAGAAGAGCAGGACTGCATTCGACATGTTGGGATCCGCAGAGAGGATGCGTTATATGCAGCGACAACGACACATTGCATTTTTAGTATCAATGTAGACATATGCTTATTAAATTTCATATGATATGGTGTTTTACAGATGATCCTGTTAATATAACACTGATCGAAGATGTTACAACGAATACATCAGCCATAGTTGCCAAGATGATGTCAAATGCGCCACCAAATATTGTGTATACAGCGCTTTGTTCAGCTGGGGATCCGTTTCCTACAATGTTTGAGGCTGCAGAAACGATAAACGTATATTGTATTGGTGTAGAAGCTGGACAACGTGCTAATTTGAGTGTTGAAGCATTTTATAATAACTGCACTGTAATATCTACGTTTATATCTATTGCAACAGGTATGTACTTTGCTTTTGAGCCGGTGTCATAATCATTTCGGCCCACTGGTAACTTCGCCCTGCCCCTGTACGAAATGGGACGCTCTCCGGGAGAGCCAATTCTTTAAACGGCTAAAATGGCCTAACAAATGTCGCCCCGGCCACAAATAATCGTGAATAAGGGACAGAATTATTGGGGCGAAATTGTGACACCGGCCCTCATACCGTACATTACTCTCTTAGTAGTTTTGTAATTTATAGTGCATCACGTTTGTATCATTACTAGAACCTGATGTGGTGATGTTCACAAATCAGACATCTTCAGTGGCTTCGATATATGTGGAATGGGAAATGAGATCTGGTTTTGCTTCAGAATTTGTCGTTAATTGTTCTAGTGGTGTTCCAGCTTCATCAGTCGTAGACGCAGTTGATGGTTCTGGTAGTATGGAATGCTCTTGTATAAAACCAGGACTACAAGTAGTAGAGGTAACAGTGATTGCTGTGGCGAACTCCAAGCAGAGTTTACCAACATCAGAAATCGTTTCAACAGGTACAGAGGGGAGATGCCGAAAGCCAATTAGTTAAAAAAATAAATTAGTTTCTTATCCCCGATCGCTTCCTCTTTTGGTTCCGTCACGACTTTACTAGCAAACATTGCAGTCCTTATTTGCGTTAGAATAGAATATTCTGAATTACTAATAGTCTAAAACTCTAAATGTTCCTATTCCTCTATTTGGTCTATATCGATGCTTGCTACAAGCATTTACAAGATTTGATTGAAAAAGCTAATTGCCGAGAAAATGAATTTCCTCATTTAGCTTTGGGTTTAAAAATTTTGAACGAGAAAATATTGTAGCTGTTATTTGAAATACACGTTGCATCAACCAATCGAAAATAGAGCGCTGAGAGAAGCCCGGTTGAATAGAACAGTCAATTTTCCAACTCATGAATATATTCTTTCCATTGCACTCCTTAACATTCATTATTTGTATAATATCTGGCGTAGATTACGGTCTGAGACTGCCTGTATAATTTTGAAAATAAACTATCATCCAATCAATGATAAATCGATGATAGTGCTTATAGTTTCAACTGAGATTAAATGGTAATTTCGGGCCCAAAATAAATGAGCAGTGTTATGAGACTCCTATTAACATTTTTTATGATTATTGTTATCATCATCATCATTATTAGATCTGTTTGTAAATTTCTAATATAATCTAATGATACGGTTATAATCTACTGTATTGTATACAAATTAATATTAGGCACCGTGTGCAAAACCGCCGTTTGTCGCAATTTCTAATTTCGCGCAAGCACCTAAAACGTTTGAGAATCAGAATTTAGAAATTTTCAGGTTTTTGCATTTTATTAAAAAATGATATATTGCAAACTATCAATCACTAAATCTAACTGAAAAGTATTACAGTTATTTTTAAAATACAAATTTTAATAATAAACTATTGATTTTGGAGTCTGTGGAAGATGTTTTCTGAAAACCTACATCAATAAATTAAATATTTGATTTGATTTGATTTATTTAGAAATTCTCACAACTAAACGGAGTACAAAATTAAACGAATTAAACAACAATAAAAGAATTTCAGGATAACCCTTTAAGCATTTCTTCTTGTTTCCGAAGGGGTCCCGTTACAATAATAATGAATGCAACAATGACATATAACAAAAAGAGGACCATGGCTTAAAATAAGCAACAATGCAAACAAATACCAAACTGAAAAATTCTTTACTAATACTCAACCAATTTACATACAATAAACGCTGCTTTAAATAAGAATTAATAGAGAATCTCTAGATGGAAGAAAATGATAGTCTTGTGAATTAAGGTATTATCGATATAGATGCATGCTTACTATGACTTAATGCTACATGGTGTCTTACAGATGAACATGTTAATATTTCACTGAACACCGGCCCTCACATCGTACATTCATAACCAGTAGTTTTGTAATTCATAGTGCATTACGTTATATCGTATCATTACTAGAACACAACGTGAAGTTCACAAATCAGACATCTTCATTGACTTCGATATTTGTCGAATGGGAAATGAGATCTGGCTTTGCTTCAGAATTCGTCGTTAATTGTTCAAGTGGTGTTCCAGCTTCATCTGTCGTATACTCCGCTGATGATGGTTCTGGTAGAATAGAATGCTTTTGTATAAAACCAGGAGTACAAGTAGAAGTAACGGTGGTTGCTGTCGCCAACTCCAAGCAGAGTTTACCAACATCAAGGATCATTTCAACAGGTACGGTGGGGGATTACGCCGAAAGCCAATTATTTAAAATTATATATGTTTTAAACAGGCATCTAGACTTGAAATTAATGATAAGCATTATGAAACTTATGAGTTATTAGTGATGTTTTTTCAGTACCAATAAATACGATTTAAGTGGGTCAATCAGAATCTGATTCTGATCGAAGTCGTATGCACAAACATCTCTAATAACATATTCATAAGGTTCATAATGCGTTATCATGAATTTCAAGTCAAGTGACCGTGGTTAAGGCAAGGATACCATTACATAGTGAAAACGTCGTCACTGAACAGTATAAGTTACTCCTCTAGGCTATTGTGATGGAACAAGTGTTGTGAATAAGGACTATAAACCATAGGCCGAGTGTACACAAACTCTACCGTGTGCAACTCATTATTACTTTGGAGAAGAGCAGGACTGCATTCGACATGTTGGGATCCGCAGAAAAGACGCGTTATATACATCGACAACGACACATTGCATTTTTAGTATCAATGTAGACATATACTTATTAAATTTCATATGATATGATGTATTACAGATGATCCTGTTAATATAACACTGATCGAAGATGTCACAACGAATACGTCAACCATAGTTGCCAATATGACGTCAAATGCGCCATCAAATGTTGTGTATGCAGTTTATTGTTCAGCTGGTGAACCGTTTCCTGAGATGATTGAGGATACTAACACGGCGACCGTACGTTGTATTGGTGTAGAAGCTGGACAAAGTGCTAATTTGAGTGTTGAAGCATTGTATGGTAACTGTTCTGTAGGATCTGCGTTGATATCTATTTCAATCGGTATGTTCAGTAATTCTTAATAGTGCTTTTGAGCCGGTGTCACAGTACTTTGGGCCAGCCAGTGAATTCGTCCTCAGCTCTGTACGTAACGTTAGTAAATTCAACTGTCTCCAGAGACCCAATCCTTTATACGGCGAAAATGGCGATATCCCAGCAAATATCACCCCAGCCAAATCACCCTGGATAAGGGGCCGAATCCCTTACCCCAGGCAAATCACCATGGATAAGGGACCGAATTCTTGGGGAGATTTTTATGTGACACCGGCCCTCACATCGTACATTCATAACCAGTAGTTTTGTAATTCATAGTGCATTACGTTATATCGTATCATTACTAGAACACAACGTGAAGTTCACAAATCAGACATCTTTATTGACTTCGATATTTGTCGAATGGGAAATGAGATCTGGCTTTGCTTCAGAATTCGTTGTTAATTGTTCAAGTGGTGTTCCAGCTTCATCTGTCGTATACTCCGCTGATGATGGTTCTGGAAGAATAGAATGCTTTTGTATAAAACCAGGAGTACAAGTAGAAGTAACGGTGGTTGCTGTCGCCAACTCCAAGCGGAGTTTACCAACATCAAGGATCGTTTCTACAGGTACGGTGGGGGATTACGCCGAAAGCCAATTATTTAAAATTATATATGTTTTAAACAGGCATCTAGACTTGAAATTAATGATAACGCATTATGAAACTTATGAGTTATTAGTGATGTTTTTTCAGTACCAATAAATACGATTTAAGTGGGTCAATCAGAATCTGATTCTGATCGAAGTCGTATGCACAAACATCTCTAATAACATATTCATAAGTTTCATAATGCGTTATCATGAATTTCAAGTCAAGTGACCGAGTGGTTAAGGCAAGGATGCCATTACCTATAGTGAAAACGTCGTCACTGAACAGTATAAGTTACTCACTCTAGGCTATTGTGATGGAACAAGTGTTGTGAATAAGGACTATAAACCATAGCCCTAGTGTACACAAACTCTACCGTGTGCAACTCAGTATTACTTTGGAGAAGAGCAGGACTGCATTCGACATGTTGGGATCCGCAGAGAAGATGCGTTATATACAGCGACAACGACACATTGCATTTTTAGTATCAATGTAGACATATACTTATTAAATTTCATATGATATGGTGTTTTACAGATGATCCTGTTAATATAACACTGATCGAAGATGTTACAACGAATACATCAGCCATAGTTGCCAAGATGATGTCAAATGCGCCACCAAATATTGTGTATACAGCACTTTGTTCAGCTGGGGATCTGTTTCCTACAATGTTTGAGGCTGCTGAAACGATAAACGTATATTGTATTGGTGTAGAAGCTGGACAACGTGCTAATTTGAGTGTTGAAGCATTTTATAATAACTGCACTGTAGGATCTACGTTTATATCTATTGCAACAGGTATGTAC